GAGTTAAGGCGAAATATTTATTTTGTTCTATAATGAGACGTTTCAGACATTTTAATTCTTGTTCAACATTTTTCGCGAGTTTTGCATCAGCAAAAAAAAATTATATGAAATTTTAACAGAAGGGGTTTTATTTAAACACAGGTCATGATGTATTTGTATTCAGCAGAGTTTTACATTTTTATCTTTGATTCAGCAGGATGCCTGAGCTCAGGATGGCTGCAGGTTCTAAAAAGACCAACGATCCGTTACAAGATCTGACTTCAGTCACTTTATTATGTGATTATTGGTTTACTGACAGAAACAAAAACATTACATCCCTACCATACAAATAAATATGTATATATATGGCCGTAGGGACAACACAACAGCAACAGACACACGGACAGACGATTACATCGAACAGGCAGAAAGTTTAGGATCTCTGAGGTTTTTCAGTTCAAGTTCATTTGATCAGTCTGTTTCTTTTGGCGCACAGTCCATTTTCCCGCCATTACATTCATGTACATGATGGTCATCCACTAAACTGTCCAGAGAGAAGAAACCCGCGCGCTATGGCGCGCTGCTCTTCACTTTGGCCACGAATTTCTTCTCCTTCACGCGCCTGTTCTGAAACCAGATGGTGATCTGCCGTTCGGACAGGCTGGTCAAAGCCGAGATTTTCCTCCTTTTGTCCTTGGTGATGAACTTGTTGGCCGCATATTCCTTCTCTAGTTCCTTCAGCTGGACTTTGGTGTACGGTATCCTCTTCTTCCGGCCTCTGCGGAAGGACGAGCCGTCGTGGTGCGCCACCACATCTGGGTCAGAGAGAAGAGAGCAGGTGTGAGGGGCGGCCAGCACGTCCCCAAAACAAGTCTCTGATGTGTGCAAATGCAAACATAAATAATTACAATAACTATTTACGTTCATTCATTCATTCATTCATTCATTCATTCATTCATTCATTCATTCATTCATTCATTCATTCATTCATTCATTTGGTGACTCACACAGCAGAGGTTGGACTTTCTCGTTTGAGTCTATTTGCACCACTTCAGCCTGACCCACGTGTTTGTGGAGCAAACATAAAACATCAAATCCTCACTTTTTAAAACTTGCTCGATTGCACCGTTCAAAATAAATAAATAAATAAATAAATAAATAAATAAATAAATAAACAACCTTTCGACTAATAGTCATTATTACAGTATTTTGTGAGTATTTCAGGACGCACGTAAATAGATCATTTAAAAATAAATATTTTCCTTTTTAATTTAAGTCAGTTTAAAAATTAGCCTGCAGGAACTTTAATTTTTTTTTAATAATATGGTGAATTAAAAACACTCCTCTGTCCTCTGTAT